CTGCATGCTGTGGATTACTGGCAAAGTAAGCAAAGGCAAGGTCAGGGCATGTCGGCTAGAGCGGGCAGGGTGCCGAGGTGGGACTTTGTTACTCTTAATCACCTAAATAATACCCCTTATCTCTTACTGGTATTGTACTTAGAGGGGTTTATAAAAGGAAAGAGCGTTTATCAACCAAACGGTTTTGGTTTGGTCTGGAAGAGATGGCTTCTTCAGTGCAACTAAAGCTATTGCCAAAAATATTTTTCAAACATGATCATTTTTGGCTTTAAGCAAACAAAATATGGTTTTGAAAGAAACACAAAGCTTCATGGTTTTTATTTCTTCTGAGAACTTGAAGAAGAAATACCTGTGCAAAAAAATGGCAAACTTTTTGTAGTTTTTTGGAAGGAAGAAAAATTTACTGACCGTCTTTAATCATGTTTTTATGCACTCTCTGACATATGCCAAGCAAATAAATGCTAATTGGTATCGCAGCGCTCCCCCCCCCAGGAAATCTCAAGAGCACGATATGAGTCCAGAAAGAGAAACCGAGGAGCTCTGATTAATAGCTTTTTTTAAAAAAACTGATTAAGTATTCCAGCCTTTAATGTTTCTTCTGAAAGCAAAAAGCTTCATGGAACTAGAGGGTCCCAGGGTTTATTTCAAAAAAAAAAAAAAAAAAGGCACAAAAGGCACGACACAGCTGAGGTTACGGGCTGGTCCCTCCCCGATGGGTCTGGCAGAGCAGGCAGTGGTCCCGTGGCACGCGGTGCAGAGTGGCAGGGGGGGGTGGGTGTGGCCGGGGGGGGGGTCGGGGGGTGCCGGGGGCGCAGGAGCTGCTGCGAGCAGCAAGGGGTTGTGCCGTCAGGTGCCCAGACAACCGTGCCTTAGCCCGACATCCTTGCGGTATTATTTGGGGATGGGAGCAGTGGAGCAAGCCCTGCTTCTGCACTGCTCCTCTGAGCTGCACCGACGGCAGGGGCGAGCCCCCGCAGCTGAGCTCCTTGCTTAGGTGCTTGGGTGAGATGCCCAAAGCCAGGTGGGATGGATATTTGTTCTTCAGTGGGTTAGGAGAGGGAAGGAGAGTGAAAGCACCTTTTCTTGATATGATGGCTGCGCAGAAAGGAGTGTTTCTCAGGGCAGGAACCTTGTGGGTCAGAGGGGAGTCAGTGAAATAACAAATTTTGCTTTCCTGACCATTACTAACATTTTTTTCTCTGTTCTTTCTGCTTTCTGGTAAGACGGGCCAATCAAGCTCTTCTGTAGGTTGCTTTCTGCTAAGTATTTACCCACCTCCCCGCGTATCCCTCTGTGCTGTGCCCATGTGTGTGCCCGTGGATTTGTGTGGGCGACGGGGAGGGGGGAGGCTGGTGCAGGGGCTTGCCTGACGGAGCCAGAGTCGGAGCCGGAGCACGCAGTAGCTTTGGGGATGCTGCCAACCATCAGGATTTGGCACCCAGGAGACCCTGATTCAGCAAAGCACTTCAGCAAGTAATTAAGACATGCGGTTTCTTTTGAGCCATCCTTGAGCCGTGCTCTCAGCACCGGTCACGCCGGTAGGCTTTTCCCAACGAGGCCGAGTGCTGAGCTGCAGCAGCTTTCACCGGCTGCGAGTACCCTCTGCCGGGGTCTGGTCCCCAGCCGTGACCGCGTCCCCACTGCGCTGCCGGCAGCGGCACGACTCCCAGGGACGTCACCTTGCCAGGGCTCTCTAACGGAGGAGGAAGGGAAATTTTAAGAGATTTTGATTAGCTACACCAGGAACTGGCCCACGAGGCAGTTAGCTTCCTGTCCTGTCCTGAAATAACCCAGGAGCCATTAATAATCTATTCTAATGTATGTGCAAGTGTTTTTTGCCACGGGTGTTTTAGGTGGAAAAAGCTATTTCTTTTTTTTATTTTAGGAATTATTTTGAAGTAACCACATTAATTAAGCAGAGAGTAAAACTCTGTTTAGTTTAGATGAGCAGATGTTGATCGTGTGTGTTCCTGTCTTCCAGCTGGATGAATATAATTCTCAAAATACACAGACTTTCAAGCTGAATATTGTATATGTTTCCTGTTATTCACTAATGGTTCTTTGTTTCAAGCAAATGCTCTTGCCAGTAATTTATTCTTTGTGATGTCCCTGCAAAATGAGCACAAGCTTGAAAGGGACATGGACACACAACTCGACTCTTGTTTTAAAAGTGGAATGACAAAGCACGAGAAATGTTTTCAGCATTCACCCAGCTCCGGCGCACAACAGGACTGTCCCCTGAAATAGGTCGTCTCTATCCTGGCAAAAACATACACACAGAATCGTTAGGGGAAAGTAAAATAATTATTTGCTCAAGTGCTTTGCAACCTGGGAACCCGGCCGTCTTCTGAAACCGAGGGGAAAAAATCTGGCATCTCTACAGAGCATCGAATATTTAGCAAGATTGCTCCTGCAAACGCGGGGTAGGCACGAGTCAGGAGCAAACACTGGACTGAACTGAGCCACGCGTGATCCGTCCTCGGCTGGGGCGATGGCTCTGCGTGGGTGCGCTGCGGGGCTGAGCGTCCCCGGCGGGGGGGAGCGGGGGCTGTCCCCTGCATGCCTCTGCCACTGACTGCCGCTGCAGGCTGAATGGCTCTTTTTTTCAGCACTGGAGAGGAAGGACTGGGGTTTCTGTTTTGTGTTTGCAGCTTGGAAAGAAACAGTTCATTTTCTAAGTAATTTGGGAGCAAAATGTTGATTGATCACTTCAGTGAACATCCTGATTTTGTAGCAACTAACAACTTCGTGTTTACATCAAGATACAAAGCAATGAGAACTGAATTACAGAAGTTATTCATGTACCTTCCGGACCTGTTAGGAATAGGAATAGAAAAGTGCTGTTTTCCTTGCTCCAACATTGCTTTTTTGTACTCTGTTGACAGGTTAATGAGAGTAGTCAGTCTTCATTTTCATAGCTTCTCTGTGTAAGTCACTAAATCGGTTACTGGTTCTGCACGGCGCAAGAAGATTAAACCTGTTATTTCAACCATGTTAAAGCTCACGTGCGCTGCAGCCCCCACCCCCTTTTGCTTTAAAAGACAAACCTGGAGAGCAGCAGCACTGCCCCGTCGCAGCAGGCAGTGGGAGGGGCCGCTCCCTGTACCAAAACCTTGGGAAAGGGGCTTTTTTTCGTCTTGTCACCTATTCTGCATTGAGTTTTGTGACAGGGATCACAGATCAGCTGTGCATGGCTGTGCATCAGCTCACACCAGGGTGGGCTCTGCAACAGAGGACAGGGTTAAATTCGACCACTCTCTCCATTTTCTGTAGCGTTTAAAAATAGCCTGGGCTTTTAAATCAATCCAGACAACATGCGGTAATAAAGTAATAACACATTTCCTTTAGTGAAATTTTCACAGCCTCTGGCGTTCAGTCCAGTTCTGCAGAGGCTGGGCCTGAAACAGCTGAGGGGCTGGCTGAAAGCCTCTCAGCGCTGTTTGTCTGTCCAGGCAGCAAGATCTTTCCAGGTTTTCCAGTGTGATAATTTAGCTCTGGCCGGTTCTTCCTCCAGTGCTGAAATGCCGACTCGAAAGCTGCAGTCTGGGCACGCGGGGTGTTTTTCAGCGGTTGGGGAATTTGTCATTTCTTCTCCTCTGCTGTCTTTAGCTGTGAAAATCAAGAAGCCGATCAAGACCAAGTTCCGCATGCCGGTGTTCAACTGGGTCGCCCTCAAACCCAACCAGATCAATGGGACAGTCTTCAACGAAATAGATGACGAAAGGATCCTGGAGGTACGAGTGCTGCTTGCTGCCCTTCTGCCTCCACTTCTGTCCATAACACAAGTCTTTGCAGGGATAGATTGCAGCAATTATTTTGGCAAACAGCTCATCCAGTGGGCCCTGGTACCCAGCAGGTCAGCGTGAGTGCCTTGATTGAGAATTTAGGGATGGTAGCTGGTAGTTATCGATTATGAAGGGTGCATACCTGTTGTGTGCATTTGTTTAACACAGATCAACCAAGATGAGGAAGGTGCGTTTTTCCCAACCTAAAATTGCTGATCCGGGCTGCAGGAGTTAGGCTTGGGTGGGTGGCTGCGTGCCAGCGAACGAAGCTTAAAGCACCACAGGGCAGGGCTGAGTACGCAGGTCTTGCATGCTCCCTCTGCCCTGAAGAGGCATGTGGCTGGATAAAGCCTGAGTGCTCATACGAGTATTTTCCTGCACTTTTGGACATGGATGGGGCTATTGGGGGTGGAGGCCAGATTTCCTGATCGCTAATTCGGGAGTGCATGTTCGTTACATCCTACAGCCCCTGATCGAAGTACTCTGCTGTCGTCACAGCGTCGCAGGGTTTGTACTGCAGTTCTGGAACAATATTAGGCAGCGCGGGTTTTAGTGTTTGCTGCGGGAGGGATAAATAATTTTCTTTCCCTTTTAGGATTTAAATGTGGATGAATTTGAAGAAATATTCAAAACAAAAGCCCAAGGTCCAGCCATTGATCTTACTTCAAGCAAGCAAAAGATAACTCAGAAAGGGTCAAACAAAGTCACGTTACTGGATGCCAACAGGGCCAAAAATCTTGCCATTACTTTAAGAAAAGCTGGAAAGACAGCAGATGAAATATGCAAAGCTATTCACGTGTAAGTAAAACACTTGTCAGCAAAGAAACCGTGTTTAAGATTTAGTGTGATTTTTGGTAAGTGGAGTGGTTTTGAATTGGCAGTTGATGTAAATGTTTTTGCGTCTGGAAAAAATCCAGGAGTAAGGATGGAACCATTCTGAATTCCCAGAAATCAGATTCCCTTGAACTAAAATAGAAAACTTGCAGTTTTATGTCGCTGTATCACTATTTAGGCTTAACAAATTAACACTTCTTTTATTAAAGAAGCTAATTCATGTATATCCACAGTATGCCACTGCATGCTGCATCTCTCGTTCTGTTCGCACAGTGTTTTCTGTTATAATGAACACTCAAAAGCCAGAGTATCAGGAAGAAGCAACTCTTTTAGTTTGTTCCACAAAGCTCGAGTTTAGTCCAAGTGCACTGGAAGGGTTTTGCATAGAGTTACGCAGGAGTGCAGCAAGGGGCTCAGCTGCGCCCCATCCCGCACTGACACAGACCCTTGCCTGCCGACTCCAGCAGCGCCCGGGGACGGAGCGCAGGTGTACCTGCTCCTTGGGGCTGGTCCTGAATCCATCCAGAAGCACTTCGTACTCGTGGCCGTGACAAACACCTGTCATTTCTCCGTTAAGGAATATCTTCAAAATTTGGATTCACGAGCGTTACCTTTGGTGAGGAGGGTGACCCAAACCTGCTGCAGATTGAGGCAGGGTAGCTGGGGTTTACAGGGCTCTGGCCCGATTAAAGAAAATTGCTCTTTGCTCCTCCCCACATACCCTCTCTGATAAAAATGAGGTGTGGCCATGGAGGGGCAGGGGGAATGACCGCGTCTTTGAAAACAGAAACAAGGTGCCCAGCAGCACCGTTCACATCAGCACAGTAACCTTGTTCACATCTTAAAGGCGACTTATAAAAAAGATGGCAGCAAACTTTTGAGCAGGGCCTGTTGCGACAGGCCAAGGGGGAATGGCTTGAAACTAAAGGGGGGTAGATTCAGACTAGATATAAGGAAGAAATTGTTTACGCTGAGGGTGGTGAAGCACTGGCCCAGGTTGCCCAGAGAGGTGGTGGATGCCCCATCCCTGGAAACATTCCAGGTCAGGCTGGACGGGGCTCTGAGCAACCTGCTCTAGTTGAAGATGTCCCTGCCCAGGGCAGGGGGGTTGGACTAGATGACCTTCAGAGGTCCCTTCCAGCCCAAACTATTCTATGATCTTCGTGTGCAGAGAGCTTCACGTGCAGGACCGTGCCCCCCACCCCAGCCAGGGCACCACGAGCAGGAGTAACTTCACAGCTTCTTTATAGTTTCTCACTGCTTTACTGGCTTAGGCTCACGTGTGGCTGAGCAGGGCAGGAGGCAGAGCTGCCTTTGGCAGCTTTCTCGCTTCTTTCACTTTTCCACCGTTTTGTGTAGAGCCTTGTCCTAACACCACTTCTGGTTTGTTATCACGCAGGTTTGACCTGAAGACGTTGCCGGTGGATTTTGTTGAATGCCTCATGCGGTTCCTGCCCACCGAGAATGAAGTGAAAGTGCTGCGGCTCTACGAGCGGGAAAGGAAACCCATCGAGAACCTGTCTGACGAAGACCGGTTCATGATGCAGTTCAGCAAGATTGAGAGGCTGATGCAGAAGATGACCATTATGGCGTTTATAGGCAACTTTGCAGAAAGCATCCAGATGCTGACCCCGGTGAGTGAGGGACAACCCCTGGGGACACCTGGGGGAATGCATTGGCTCTGCGGGGATCGGGGCTTCCCGGGGGTCCAGGCTCCCCTTGGGAGCTGCGCTCTGCGGCGGGGGTCAGCTTGCGGGGAGCACTGCAGTCATGCTGAAGGTGTGAGCCAGTCGGTGAAGGTTATAGAGTTTTTAATTTTGCTAAGACAGAGAGATGGTTTGAGTGTTGTGGAGTGATTATCAGTTCCCATGGAGACAGAACAAGAAACAATTACACAAATGAAAAAGTGGCTTTCAAGCTATATTTTCATATATCAACGACTGATATCCCAGGTGCTGTTTGTACCCTGGACTGCTCCATACTGTCCTATTTCTTTACCCTGTAGAAGTTTAAAACCGGTTTAAATAAAAATCTAGTTGTTTGTATCACCAGGGAGAGGAGTTATCAGTGCTGGCCCGTGGGCTCTTTGAAGTGTCCCCCATTCAGCCTGATGTATCTTTCACGGTCGTAAGGATTGAAATGTGAATACGCTTTTACCCAACCACATCTGAGTGTGGTAAACCTGTGGTGCAAATGAATTGTTTGAAATCCTGATGTGTCAGGGCAGGATAACATTTATGCTAGGGCCCACGGTATGGATGAAAACCAAGAGGTTTTGTTGAGAATGTGAATGTTTAGATTTTAATTTTACTCCTGGGTTGGACATGCATTAACCAAAGCTCTTCCTGTGTTTACCTGCAGCAACTTCACGCAATAATAGCTGCATCTGTCTCAATAAAGTCATCCCAAAAGCTTAAGAAAATACTGGAGGTAGGTCTGATTTCAGATACGTTCAATAGCTCCATCACTCACCGGTGCGTCCCCTTACATATACTCAAACTGTACCTGGATGCTGACATACCAGCTCTCCTTCCAGAGGTTTCTAAAGCGCCGTGCATTTGTCCTGAAAATTCATGCTCTGCTCTGTTTCACCCTGGCAGATAATCTTGGCTCTTGGAAACTACATGAACAGCAGTAAACGAGGAGCTGTGTATGGATTTAAGCTACAGAGTTTAGACCTGGTAAGTAAACCAGAGGTGCCTTGTGGGGACCAGGTGGGAATGCATTTCATGTGCACCGCGAGTGGCTGCTGGGGGACTCGGTCGGTGCTCTCCAGCTGGTGAAGGCAGAGAGTGGCAGCGGGGAAGGCGCTGCCTGCCAGGCGGTGTGCGTTTGCTTTGCTTATCCTTGTTTTGGGGGGCCGCTTAGGAGAAGGCACGTGTCTTTGGAGGCTCTGCACAGACCACAGCTTGAAAACCACCTGCTAAAGACTTAAATGAGCTTTTACAGCCGTCCTTATCAGATGGAGAAACACCAGGGAAAGGCGAGCACTGGCTGAGTCGCTTTGCTTGGAGCCTGCTGCACCTCCACCCAGCAATCTCTTTGCCTTCTCTCCCCAGCTCCTAGAAACAAAGTCAACAGACCGAAAGCAGACCCTGCTGCACTATATTTCAAATGTGGTCAAGGAGAAGTACCAGCACGTATCCCTCTTTTACAATGAACTTCATTACGTGGAGAAGGCTGCTGCAGGTACTGTCACCCTCCTGTGCCTGGCCAGCGGTGGTGGCACGCATGCCGTGTGAGAGACTTCGTGGCACACATTCCCCCCACGTCGGTGGGGAATTGTTCAAGCTGTGGGTTCGTGTGCTGGTGGAGCAGGAGCGATGCAGCATTTTTGTTTTATTTCCTAGTGTCTCTTGAAAACGTCCTCTTGGACGTGAAGGAACTGCAGAGGGGCCTGGATCTGACGAAGCGTGAGTACACCATGCATGACCACAACACGATGCTGAAGGAGTTCATTCAGAACAACGAAGGGAAGCTAAAGAAACTGCAGGACGATGCCAAAATAGCCCAGGTATTTCTTTATTCTCGGGGTTTGGTGAGGGGCTGTGAGTGACACAGTGAATAGCAGCATGTCACTGCAAAGGATGTGCTTTTATATACACAGCAGGGAGGAGAAGGTGCAGCAATGTTGTGGAGTTGTTCCTGAGTCCAAGTGCTAGATGTAGACGTGCTGGTCTGAGCCAGGGGTTTCACATGCAGAGGAAATCTAGGCACTTTACACTGAATACTGCAGTAATGGATGGTGAGTTTATCTTGAAATGTGTGCAGTGCAGTAAATCTGTGCTCTTTGTAGGATGCCTTTGATGATGCTGTGAAGTACTTTGGGGAGAATCCCAAGACGACACCCCCCTCCGTCTTTTTCCCAGTGTTTGTCCGGTTTGTGAAGGCCTACAAGGTAAACAGGAGCATCCTCCTCTTCTCTTCTGTCCTTCCGAACCCGATTTGGTACCTGCGTGGCTCGGGGCGCCCAACAAAACAGCTTGTGGCTCCCTCTAGCTTTGACACCGTGTGAGCCATCCCCGACAGCACAGCAGCACCCGCCCAGGGCAGAGCAGCACAAATAGTTGTTTTGGGATTATTTCCAGGGCTGAAAGACAACACGGCTGTCTGGGATGCTAGAGGAATCCTTAGAAATTGAACGTCTGGGTGGCTGCAGCTTACACCTTTAACCCTGAATACACGTCTTTTGGGACTGGGAGAGGATGGTTTGTGCGACCTAGGAAGGTCTCTCCCAGCCCAGCTTTTGCAGACCGTGTTCAGAGGCAGCTAAATTGCTGCACCTAAGCTTGCTTCCTTGGAAAGCCCCGTGGTAGCAAGTGATAGTGTTACTCACGTGTGATATTTAGGTTCCCTATAGCAATTGGAAGCCATAACCTGTACTTTTTTGTGATAAATAGCAAGCAGAAGAAGAGAATGAGTTGAGAAAAAAGCAGGAACAGGCCTTAATGGAAAAACTTATGGAGCAAGAAGCATTGATGGAGCAACAGGACCAAAAGGTATGAAACGGATACGTCTTACAGGCAGGAGCCATCAGGTTCATGTGTTTTTCCTGGTAGTTCAGAAATCTCAGCTCTGTGTAAGAACTTCAGTTGTCCAGCTTATAGTTGGCTCTATAGGGTCACTGGAAGTTTTCTCCTTATGGGGACAGAACCACAATAAGCTAAAGGAATACAAGTGTATGATTCTGCTACTTTGAAGTCTGCAAAATTAAGAAAAACTGTGAAGAGACAGAAAATCATCTCGTCCACATTGCCATTATCTGAACTTTGTTCTGCTCTGGCCTTGTATCTGTTAAAACCTCATTGGTGTTCGGTGTGCAGAGCCTCCCGTCGCTTACAGGGACAAGGAACGATCGTCCCTAGATCCTTCCCTGTCAGAGCATGGCAGCAGGACTGAGCCCCACGTTACCGTTTTATAGGAATTTTCCTGAGGTGGGTTTTTTTTCTGAGGTAACACTTTAGATTTGCTAGAGAAAGCTTCCCATGGCTCTAAAACAGCCACTTTGTCGGCTGGTGCTGCTCCCCACAGCTGTTGTTGGGATCTTTAATCCCAGCCAAGCTTTTTCCCTCAGAAGGAAAGCCTGTTCTCCTTGTTCCCCTAATGCTTTTCAGAGGTAAGAGCTTGGAGCTCCAGCTCCAAGTGATGAGAAGGCTTGGAAGTAGATGACAAATGTAGGAAAGAAAAGCAGCTTGGCAGCCAGGTTAACTTGAGACTCTGCCCGTCCTCTCCATGGGACGTGAGCTAACTGCACACGTGTGTTTTCCCGGTCTTGCAAAACTGGCAGTTACTGTTTGCTGATAGCTACCAGTGGGATCACCTGGTGCTTCACGTTCAGGAAGAGAGAAGCAGGGTAGCTGGAGGTCAGTCCTTCAGGGTCCTCTCTCCTTTGCTTTCAGTCTCCTTCACATAAAACAAAGAGACAGCAGCAAGAGCTGATTGCAGAGCTCAGACGGCGGCAAGTCAAGGATAACAGGCATGTGTACGAAGGGAAGGACGGTGCTATTGAAGATATTATAACAGGTAAACACCCTTTGTCCCATAATCTCAGAGGCCCTTTCGCAAAGGATAAAAATGTGTATCTGCCTAGCAGCTAGTGTAAGTGCTTCATGTACTTCTTAAAAATGTGTTACTGGAGCACAGCTTAGGACATTGTTTATATGATGTGAATCAAGTACAGAAACTTTTGCTAATGGTATGTAACAAACCAACCCCAGTAACCTGCCTTGACGTGTCCGCTGCCAATGCTGCGTGCGCAGACCTCGGACACACGCTCTGTTGCTTAGTTCTTCTCTTTCAGCATGTGGGGACGTACTCGGTCTCTAATCTTTAGAGTAGCCAGTTCAGTGCCTGATCTCAGCAGATGCTCCGGTGGGAATATGCATGTCGTGCAGATCTTTCCCAGAAACCTTTTTCCCCCCTAAACGGAATGAATGACGGATGTTTAACCTTATTAAGAGCCTACGTTTTCATTAAAATGTACTAACAGTAATTGCACCACATTATTGCACAGTTACAGCAAATCATTTAGTCAAACCTGAATGATTTACGACCCTAAACTGCTTCTGGTTTTACTGCTTCTCAGGTTGGTAGGCAAAGTCTGCACTGATCCCAACCTAGGGCCGAGGGAGGGGGGCAGAACCTGCTGTCGTAGCCAGAGACAGTCAGGACTTTGGTGCAAATATTTGCTGATAAAAAGAGCTGCCTTCGAAACTGCATTTTGCTCAGGAGTCAAATCGTTTGTAATCTCTACAGCTGCTCTGATTGCAGTTCTGTGAGTTTACTGCACGTTCTTCACCCATGGTGTGAAAGGGACACGATTTTAACACTTCGATAGCTTTACAGTACTTTGTTTCCGTTGCACAGAAGCTCAAAAAAAGGTCTTTGGGCAGGATTTCCTTGGCTACTGCTCCTGAATGTTTTTCACACGAGTTTTTCCTGCAGGAGGGGAGGAGAGCTGTTTTACTACTCACTAAGGAAAGCCAGGGAATTTTTGCCCAACTAGATGACAGGGCTGAAATGCTCGAAGCTTTCACAACTCTTTTTAACCTTGATTAATAGCTTCCTAAGATAATATTCTTTATTTAAAGGGCAGAGTCGCTATAATATCTAATCTGTTACCACTTCTACAACTCCTTCAGACTCCTGGAAGCTTGTTTAATTGGTAAAGTGGTTCTCCTGCTCTGTGGGAGAAACAGATTGTGTGGCAGAAGACCATCCACATGCAAAAGGCAGTCCAGCGGAGGGGGTGCCAGACTCAAATTAAACATTTCCTATGGTCTTGTGCCTAGTATTTCCCGTTATGGGGCTGTCCCTGGGGGCCTCAAGCCATGTAATAATAAAGGTTAGGCACAGAAAGTCAGGTAGGACCGAGGTCACTTGAATACGGCCCATGAGATCTCTGTTAATGGTATGGAAATGATCGAAAGTGTGGGTTTAAGTTGGATAGTGCCCCATCAGATGCACAGAAAAGCTCTGCTCATCCGGAGCAGAGCACTGTCTAACAATACACCCTTTTCTGGAGCACATTCAGCCATAGTCTCTCAAAACCATTCAAAACGATGTAATGTAAGAAATACTTATTCAAAGACTCACAACTGCCTTGTTGCCAAAGCCTCCTGAAGGGCAGTGCGATTAGACAGCTGGTTGGAAGGTGTAAGACCGTCCCTGGGTGTCCGTAGCCGAGCACTAACACTGTACTAATGCGATAGATCCGCTTCTCACGGCTCTGTTTGTCTGTTTGGCTGTTATTCCCATGCAGTGCTGAAGACTGTGCCCTTTACTGCTCGAACCGCCAAGCGGGGCTCTCGGTTTTTCTGCGAACCTGTTCTCACTGAGGAATTCCATTACTAAACTATTCCTCTTTCACATCTGATGCTCTTAGAAAAAAGAAAGGTTGCTGTAGATTTTTGACACTTCTCCATTTGTACGGATCTCAGCCAGGATCATGTGAATGTTGAGTGTATAGTAATGTCCAGCGTCCACCTGAAGTTGTATTTATGTCACCTCTGTTGCATGTTCTTGTGTTTCGGTAACTTTTTATTCCATCCCATCGGCTTTGCGCTCGATGCTTTTGGCCATCCTTGCGTCTCAAAAGCATCTCTCGCCCTCACGCCCAATGCCATAGAACAGCAAGTGGTGGAAGTCACAGTAGATTTGGTGAAGGGTTTCCTACAGTTCGCAAGACTCAGGAGATCAAATGCAGTCAAGAAGTGACAGTTCACTTGGCTTTTCTATGTCATCTCTTCTGGCCTGCAGATCTTTCTCTGTACGCCAGTCCACCTATGTAAAATGCATGTAACCCGTCAGCTGTATGCCAAAGCAGAGTTACGGTCTGCATGAACTAAGCGGGACTTTTCTTGGGGTTTGCTTTCTGGCTTGGAAGGGTTGTCTGTAACAACGTACGTCCTCTGCGAGGAGTGTTTTGTTTTAGACTTTTTAACCAGCACCTGCATGTTTGTCTGCATGTGAGATACAGGATAAAATGAACCGCATAAAATCTTTTCTCATTCGGTCACATCCATATTTAACTTTTTTCAGTTCCATGCCAACTTTGCCTAAATAAAATCAGAGACGTTTACTGAGCACTAACCGGTTCCAATTCACTTGGACTTTGTGCAGTGCTGGGGTTGGGCTCGATAGCGGCAGCGGTGCACGAACCCGGGGGGGGGAGAGGGAAGGAGCAGAGCTGGGGAAACACTCAGTTATTTGCCAGAACTGCAGAAATTGTGACGATGAAAAGCTTGACATGGAACTGAGCAATTTACATCGTGTGGTGTAAAGTGTAAGAAGGGTGTGTTTAACCCAGCATGTCTGTTAACACTGTTGTCTTGATTTAAGGACTCAGCGGCTTAAGAAGACAACAGTGTTTCACTTTTGCTATATGTATTTTTATGAATGCTTCTAATAAAATTGCAAACTATAATCAGCTCAACGGTTATTTGCTCTTTCGAGTTAATTGCTGTATTATCTTCCTGGAGCCAATCTTCAAAGCAGCTTGGAATTTGGTTAGCGAGAGGCGAGGGTGGCCCTCCTGTCCTTTCCTCTCCGTGTCTAACCTCCTCTCGTAGCCTTGGCCTTACCCCCTCTTGCTCTGTTGGCTAACGTGCCTGGGAGTTTTGAACGCTGAGTTGACTTGCTCTTCATTTTCCATCCCATTTTTTACTTAACCATCATTTTGTGTTTTGTTTTGTTTTGTTTTGTTTTTTTCTGTTTAGCCCTAAAGAAGAATAATATCACTAAATTTCCAAATGTTCACTCGAGGGTAAGGATTTCTTCTAGCACACCGGTGGTGGAGGATACACAGAGCTGGCAAGCATCACTTTTTACTTAGCTTCCTCCTCTCTCTGTATGCCAGACAGCCTGTTGGTAGATGTGGCTAAGAGTAATACTGGTGAGAGCCTAAAGGCCAGTGGAGACTGAGACCGCTTATTTTCACCCTCTGCGGTGTGGGGGATCCGTAGGCCGTGGGCTGGTGACCGTCTTCATACCCTCTCCGTTTTGGCCCTTTCCCTTCCAAGTTTAGCCCGAGGCAGGCAGTCTCGTCCCCAGGTTGTTTCAAGCCCATAGTGCCCTGGATATTCTGCTGCCCCCGTCTCGGTCCTGCTACGGCCACCGAACGGGACGTGAGAGACGGACCACCGGCAGCTCAAAGCGTGGAGGGGGGAGAGGGCAGCCTCCAGCAAAGGCACCTTCTGCTGGGGTACCCCAACAGCTGAGAGGTTTGGGCGTTGTATTTAAACCAAGACACGAGTCATCCAGGAAATTTGAGGGGGGTTGCCCAGTCCAACGCATACCCGTTTTCCAGGAGAGAAATATTTTCACTAGAATTAGTCTTCAGGGGTACCGAGTGTGCTTGTTATATCGTAGCCGCACACGTAACACGTGTAACAGCACACGTAACACGGGCTTTCATCAACATGTCCATCTCCAGCTTTCTCCACTGTTCCATCCGTTGCATGCTCAGCATTCCCTCCTCTTCCCTCCCGAAGGGGGGGTGGGGCCGGGCTTTGCTGCTGGTGAGGAGGAGGAGGAGGGAGGGGGGTTGGCTGCTCCGCTGCCTTCGTTTAACGAAGCATCTCTGCAGCCGGGCGAGATGGTGGCAGTGGGGCAGGACGGCAGCTGGAGCTTTGCAAGCCGGTTGCCGCGTACCAGCTGCTTTTTCTTAGGGCACCCTCTTTTAAATAAGTGGGTGTGTAGGGAGCATAGACCCACCCTTGTGTTGCTAAACACTTGCACCCTTGTACCCCGGGTCGCGCGGCTCCAGTGAGCTGCACCCCGCTTTAGAAAAGTCCCTCAGCTCACGCTAGTGTTCGAGAGGCCGCGTGAAGGACCAAGGCTTACGTCAAGCAGACTGATTTCAGTTGATGTTGCCTTCCTTACTGACGTTACCGAACGCTAGCAGCCCCGGGGGTGGGGAGACGTTCACGCTAACTCGACGGCGTAACTCCATTTAGTTTCACCAGCATTTCAGCGCATTTCACCAGTATTACCCGCTGCTTGGGTGCGTAGTAAAAGGGCACGTCAGTATTCGCTCACTTCTGCTCTCATTGGGTTGAAGTCCCTTCTCCTGTTCCTACACAAGCTGCTTTGATTGGCTTCCAGCAGGACTTTTCCTTGTCTAGACTGCGTGTGCGTGCGTGTGTGTGCGTGTGTGTGTGTGCGTGCACGCGGGCGAGCCGTGCGTGCTTACGAACGCCGCTTTCCTCTCCGCAGATCTTAGAAACCAGCCGTACCGACGGGCCGACGCGGTGAGGAGAAGCGTCCGGCGGCGCTTTGATGATCAGAACTTGCGCTCTGCAAACGGTGCTGAAATAACCATGTGAGCTGGAGACGTGCGGGTGTCAAGGAAAGGGGGTGCTTGAGCGATACCTTGTCCATGTGAACTCTATGTTCTGCCACTCATTTACAGCCTTGGGAACAGTAAAATTCACCTTCTAAAGGGCTCAAAGGCCTAGAAAACGCATAGGAACGTCAGCGCGGGGCTCTCCACTCAACCGTAGCTAACAAGTGCCTAAAATTGAAGTACCTGCTCAAATTAATCAAAGCAATAGGACTTGATTTGATTGGGTATCTTTTTACACCAATACGTTATTCAGTATTTTTAACCAAAATGTAAAATACGTGTTGTTTTTGGGTGTTTAGTTTGGTTTGATTATATAAAAGTTTAGCGACTGGTCTCCTGTGGGCCTGACCTGCGCGTCCCGACTGGTTGTAAACAGGCGACCCTTGGAGGTGCTCTGCTTTTAAATGCATTCCTGTGCTGTCCGCCGAGGGATGGACCTTGGCTTCAGCTGCACTTACCGGCTTTTGGTTTTGGTTTGGTTTTGGTTTTGTTTTTTTTTTTTTTAAAAAGGAAGACATTTAACGGCTTTCTCTATGTAATACGGAAATAATTCCAAGAAGAGACCCGTACCCTTTTCCCACCGCACACGCAGGCTCCACGCCACCGTAGCTGGGATGTGGTACCGCGTACGTCAGTGATCACGAGGTGGATAGCGAACGAACGCGAGTCTTCACCCCCGGCAGGGTGTGATGGTTGGAGTGTGCAATGCAGGGCTGAGGCCCGGGGGCGCCGGGGGGACCAACGCATCCCACACCCTCAAAAGGAGAAGGGTGGCTAAGGCACGTCCATGTTCTTCAGCTAGAGGCAGCTTTTGAATAACAGTGTATTTATTAATTAGCACTAAGGTATTAACATCTCAATAATCAGTATTAGGATTCTGAGGACCATTGCGGTTCAGTTGCTCGCGCAGAGAAGCATCCTGTGCCCTGCTCCGTAGGATTAATACCCCGCTACAACTCCGAGTTCCTTGGACAATCCAGTTCAGCGTCCCTGCCAAGGATCGTTTGGTCAGCGAAGGGAAGCCCGGCCTAAGAATCCTGACAGGTTATAGGTTGTACATTGCATTTTTAAAGCTGAAAAAGGGAAATAGACTGGCTTTAGCAACGTTAAAATGGCTTCCGAACGTTTTTGCCCCCCCCCCCCCCCCCCCGCTGCTAGTTTGCACCAGTGTCCCAGAGCAGCAAGATGAAGCCGAATTCGTGCCGGCAGGGTACGCGATCTTCTCAGACGTGAAGAACTGGACTGAAGAGAAATTTGTACTTTCCAAGATACGTTTTGCTTCCAGCTTACCTTTCCTGGTCTCACTGCATCAATATGTTAATTGTAAAATTTATTGTATAGTATTTAACCACTGAATTTCTTTTTCTTTTACGTTGTGCTTATGTGAACCACTGGTGAAGGTCCCATTTTTTTCTTGGATAATGTGTAGTTATATGATAATCTGTTTTTAAATGTACAGATATTTTGCTACAAAATTGGTGCAGTTTTTTATGGTTTTTACACTTCTCCTCTTTTATTCCCACTTTAGCCTCTGGGCAATATTGTAAATATTGTTTAAAAAAAATGCATCAGCCTGTGCTATACAATCTGAATGTTATTTTAACTTATAGTTTTTGTTTTTATATTTAACTAAATGGACAGTTTGGGGCTCAAAGTTACCACATTGACCTCTGCTTACCTATTTACAGGAAGTTTACTTTAAAAACTGCCACCTTCTTGCATTTACAGCAACGTGTACTTGACATGCTAAAGAGAACATGCCAAATCGCCTCTTTCTTCACTGACCGTGACAGAAGACTACTTTAACCTGCGTCAGAAAATTGGACAGTTTATTAAATTCACTGTTAGGCAAATGGTTAAAAGCACTAGCTCTCACATGCTTAAGCGCAAAGGTATTTTTTTTTTAATTGAAGACAAATTATCATGCAACTAGACTATAATGCTGGCATGTTCTCTTTAATATTTTTCTAGTAATAGACCTGCTTCTTAGCAATATTAGAAGTGTTTTATAAAAGCAGTTCATGTTACTTTCCTGGTCTGTTCCTGGCATAAGATCAAATAAACTATTTACACTACTACACCGCAATCCGGAGGGGGTTTTTGGTCGCTTTTATGGTTTGGGTTTTTTTCCCCCCACAAATGGTGGTATGTGACGGGTGCCCACCTGGAGCTTGCAGCAGCAGCAGCAGCAGCAGCGAGGAGGCCTGGGTGCTGGTTTGGTTCTGGCATTGTTTTGTTTTATTTTATTTTATTTTTAAAAACCACCGAGTGTTGGCTTTTGTACCTCCCCTCGCTCGGTGACTGTAAGTGCACCCTTTTTCCTTTTCCCCTCTCCCCTCCAACGTGTCAGTCTTTGGGGCTGTTGCAAGTTGGGGAAAGGAATGGGGGGAACCTCCGAGGCCCTCTCGCCCCCCCCCGCAGCACTCGCCCCGTGGGCCGGGGCCGCCTTCGCTGTTCAATACCCGGCTGCCGCTGCCGGCGCTTAACGCGCAGCATCGACGATGCCGAAATAATTCTCCGGGTAATTCTCGACGTCAGTTTACCCTTGGCGACGGCACAGCCGGGCTGGCAAGAGGCCAAATCCTGGCTCTCGGTTCCTGCAGCCGCAAATACACAAACCCCAACAGGACAGATGTTGAAGTCCTACGCTTAAAGAGAACGACTTCATACTTTAGACAAAACTCAGGTTTAATTTTTAGAAGGGTTTAACAAAATAAATACAAGGGAGCAGAGGGTGAGCGCGGGTGCAGCCAGCCCCGCGCGAGCTGGCGCCCGGGAACGGCGGGGGGGGGCTGGAGGTAACCCCTCACGAAGAGGGCAGTGAGCTGCACAAGGGCCGTGCAAAACGGAGCAAAGCAAATACAATCAGAGTCAAACCGTGTGACAGACACCACTAACACGTGAGAAGGACCCAGCTTGCTAAAAATCCTTTCAGTTTCAAGGCAGAAATACAGAGTTTGAGCTCGGGGCTGCCTTGTGCAAAAAAAACCGGCGGGAGAGCTCGTCGGCGCGAAAGAGCGCGGCGGGGCGGCACAGGCAACGCGGTTCTGCCACACCAGCGACAGCCACCGTGAAAAAAAGATGAGGCTGTGAAACAGGAAAGAGGAGGGAAAAAAACCAACGATGCCAAGAAAGAAACCAAAACCAACCCCGCAAAAAAAGCCTGAACTCATTTCCCTAAAAACTAAATTAATACTTGCCAGGACTGTTCTGAAAGCAGGCTCCCTTTACGATGCATTTCTTTTGCGAGCTCTAATAAAGACATACAAAAAACCCCATCAGAATGATTTACATTTACAGTTTTTTTTATTTTTAATGGAAAAATAAAGGCAAACCTTTTAAAAGTAGCATTTTTCTTAGAAACACTTTTTTTTGCCTGATGCAAATTAAGCAAAAGCAAGGCAGTAACAGAGTATGGTACACACGTTCTGATGCGGTTGACGAACCATCGTGACCTGTCGCGTTCCAAGTCAGCCCCGCGCGCTCTGCCTTCCCGCCGCCCAGCTCTACGTCAACGTGAAACCCGCGTCAGCCACGATTAACGCTTCACCTCCTCTTCCCTAAACCGCCGGTTGGTCTGGTTTCCCCTCGGGCACTGCGACCTGCTACGCTGTCTGCGCATTTCCGTGTTGAACGATAAAATCCAGGGAAGCGAATTTACAGGGTTAGCAAAACACCTATTTAAGGTCTCGGCCGACCGCAAGTAGTCCTGGGAGCACCGGCTCCCCTCCGTCCTGCCGCGCCTGGGAGAGCCGCTTGCTACGGGAGAGAACCCTGGAACAAAGCGGCTGCCAGCGCTTCAGCAGCTTCCCGGACTGGGACATTAAACGCGCCACTGGCTACAAAGAATTACCACGGGTCCCGTTTGACCAAACTCGGGTAATTTTTCCCCTCGGCGATGGGCGACGAGCAACCACAGTTCACTCTGCTGGAAAACGCCAGCTCCGGACCGAACATCCCGCGAGCACCCCATCGCCTCAGGAGAAAAGGCCGTGGGGTCCCGCCGGGCGCAGCGGGTCAGCTGTCGCCAGCAGTTCAGACTTCAAGTGACCGATCCCGGTCTCCAAGAGCGTTCTTACGAATAAGCCTGAACCACGTAACCGCCCCGGGAAGAAGAGACGCCGTGTGAATTGGACCTTCTGGGGATTTATGCGCTGGAACAGCTGGCACACATTAAGGAAAAAATGCACTGAAAAGGAAGCCGAACTCTACATCGTCTTCAAATAGCTCTTCCGGGCGCGCACGTTGCTTAAATCCAACAATCGGAAGACAGGAATCATTTACCAGAGCTGCAGCGAGTATTTAAAGCTAGAAATAAATACTAGTACACACTAGCAGACAAGGTTTAATAATGGATAAAAATGTACAAAAATATTCCAAGGGGAGCTTTCGGGACGTGCACCACCGCAGCCCCCGCTTCGCGCCGAGCGGGGCTGGCAAAACCTTCCTAAAAGCAAACCGGTGGGAGGCAACCGAAAAGGAGACGGGGCTTAAGCTTCTTCCTTTTCCCTTTTCAAGGGATGTTCTAGAGGGGGCTACGCGGCTGCTGTTGAAACGCGGCGGTACATTCTTCAGCAGGTTCTTAAGGCAAGACATTGAAATTAATTTACAACTTGATTTATTATTTTTTCATTTTCTTAACGGGAAGATAAAGGCTGAAGTTAACGCCCGTAGCCGTTCGGGACGGGGTTTTAGGGGCAGAGGAGAGGCGGGGGGGGCAGGCAGCACCCCCCGGCGCCGCAGTGAAGGGCCCCCGGCGTTCCCATCAACCGCGTTCCCGGGGCTGTGAAAATTTACCGTAAAAAACCCGCTCTGAGACGGTTCTTAGACAGGAATCTCGGCCAGGAAGTCAAGTCTTCTGTTCCGTACAAAAGCTCAACGTGGGTTTGGCCGGTGACGCAGTCCACCAAAGAGCAATTCCAGTGTCTGTTGTTTTTTTGCAGTACTGATCAAGAAATGGATTCATTACTCCCCTGCCCTTGCCTTCCCCTTTCCAAAATAAAAACAAATCCGTAAAGCAAATTAAACCACAAGAAACTATATTAAGAATCTCTTTCTAAAAAATGAAATTTTATCTGCCTACACCGGCCAGGAGAACCGGCGTCGCTACCTTTCTAGGAAGGACCGTACTTAAGAGATGCTTTGCTAGAAAGGTGCCA